AAGAAGTAAAAGTGAAGTCAGAAAAATAAATCCCACAACTGTGCGAAGATTTTGACAACATAGTTATCATAATAGTTGGGATCTAAACGAGTGCCAAGCTCTAAAGCAGTTACTGAAAACGTGTTATCTATAGAAGTGTATCTACAACGTTTTTGAGACCTTATGAGAAAAGTTTGCAAGTAAACTATTCTTCTCTTAACAGTTACAATTTTTAAATTTTTTTGTTTATTATAAAACCCTTAACATCACACTAGGGTTTTCCCATGTATCGCAGTGGCAATTAACATAAATAAATTTCACGAGGATTAATATTCTCACCCGGAACAATTATTTGTAAGCCATAGAAAAACTTTTCCGTGCGGAATTCGAACCGCGGCCTTTAGCTCTGCAAATTTTTGTGAAACTACTATGCCGTGGAGCATTCGAATCGAATTTGTTAGTTCAATTTTATAAAATAAATACATATAAGCAGAAAAAGTCAAAAGAAGCTTATTTTTTTAAATAGTCATCTAATTATAATATTCTATTTCCATAGAATATTTTTATGGAAAGAAAATCTTAGTAATATACATATTACAAGAAATCTTGCTATAAATTGTTATTCATTAAACCAAAAGTGAGTCGCTAGTTTTAAGAAGCTTTTACTTGGGAACGTCAAATTTGATTTATTGCGCAGAAATTATTTCTTTTTCTACTTTTGAAGTCGGTGCTTACTATCTTATTAAAGTGAAATTCTTAACAGGTTATAGTGGACTAAGAAACAAAGAGAATGTGGTCTTATTTATTTATTGTAGGCAGAGCCCATACGAGTATTTAACAAGTTAAAATTATAGCTAGGGTTATTAAAAAAATTTACAAAACTATAAAAACAACAGAAAAATTCTAGCAATTGTGAACTAGATACACATAGACCACGCTTGTTTGTTGTTGAAGTGGCAAGTCCCACCGATCTACGAATACCTTCCCCAAGGATAATGTTGGTACTGTTCCGCAAACGGATCAGTGCGGAGGCAAATACATCCTTACTATCGCGGCGAAGCCGTCAATACGCCTAAATAATAGTTCCATTAAAAGTTTAAAGCAGTAACAAAAAACTGACTGCGTAACAAAGTGTACTGAAAAAAGAAAAAAGCCAAATATAACTTTCACTTTCACAACTGAGATGAATTTCAGAACACACCTTGTTAAGATCACTTCAGAGCGTGCTAAACAAATTGACATACATACAAACGTATATACACTCAAAAACCTCCTTTAGGTGCAGTGCGTAAATAATAGAGCCGAATTTTGAACTTTCTCCTTTTTTGTAAGTCGGTTATAAAAGAAAATTATATACGCTTATTAAATTTCTGTCCCTCAGTGAATATTAACAACGCGTGAGACAATATTTCAAAAAGAAAGAGGTTCTCACTTCGGGTATACGTTTTTTTTTTTGCATGTATGTTGTACACGATGTATTCGTAGACTGTGAACCGATTTTAATTATTCATTTTTTACCAACTTCAAAAAGGATTAGGTATTCAATTCGACCGTACGTATATTTGTGATACCTCATAACTATTTCTGGGTAAATCGATTTTGATAATTCTTTTTTTCATTTGAAAGCTGGTGTTTTTTCTGTATCCCATACAAACTTGATCAATATCTGACTAGCAGTTTTTATGTTATCTTTAAATAATGCGTATTTAAATGGCTTAGAAAACATTGATTCGGTCGTATTGAAGGCGGTTGTACAAAATATTTAATCTTACCACTTGTGTTAAATAGGCTTATCTCAACGTAGGTCCTATTAAATTTTGAACAAAAACCTTAGAACCTTTGTACGAAATTACTATAAGACTGCTTCTGTATCTTAATGTGTGTACATCAAATAAATTTAAAAAAAAAACTTCCGCCCAAACGGGTGAAAAAAAGAGGAAAAATTTTCATATTGAACTATTGTTTAAGGAATTTCCTACGATATCTTTGCAAATAAAAAAAAAAGATTTTAATGATTATTTTTTCTTTAATAGGGTACTTATTAAAGGTGGTTCCATATTAATTTGGAAAAAAAATCCACCTCAAAGGGTTGCAAATAAATTACTTCTTTATTAGCAATTTGAAGTCGGTTTTATTTTTGTTAAAAGCTATTTAGTTATTCTCTTAATAATTATTAACATATCTTTATAGGCACTAAGTGAGTATAATGCAATTCATTCTTCTAATTTATCTCGGAGACGGTACTAACTTCGTTTCCAGAGAACCTCGAGCAAATCTCGTAATGAATTGAGCGCGAGAACTTTATTCCCCGCTGGGCCTATCAAAGTTGACGAATGCGTTCAAGAATTAATCCTTTTATTTGTGAAATATCAACTTTAGAGGTCTTTCACACGAATGGTGTGAAAGACCGAAAAGTGTTTTACCTCACGAGAATTTATCAAGCAAGCACATTTGACCTGACGATTTAATTTCACGTTACGATTTAATTTCTCGTGACAGTTTCATTTGGCGTGACAGTTTCATTTGACATGATGACTTACGTCACGACGATTACTTACATGACGATTAAATGATTTGTTACATTTACGCGAACGTTACACATTGAATAAAACTACTTTAACGGTTTTATAGTATTTAATTTAACTTATTTTTAAGTACCGACGTTTCGGGTGCTTTACGGCACCCATGGTCACGTGTGTAAAATCATTATTATCCAAGGATTCGCACGACTTCCTGTATTATTAAATACAAGTGGCGCCGCAGAGAGTAATGTACTTACTGGGTGTCCTAAAAAGTTTATGAAATTCAAATAGAGGAGCATTCGTTAGTTAGGCGCAAAGCTAATTAGTTGTGATCTGCTAATATACGAAGTACTTTACCAGAAGTTATATTATTCCGTCAGACCCTTATCTCCACATTAATGAGCTAGAAGAATATAGTGTTAATTTTATTTCATTATATTTTAATTATAACTTACTGCAAGGAAGAAACTAAAATGTTGATGGTGACAAGAACGTTCAATACGATGGACTGAGGTGATTAACTTCCCCATGTCAAAGTTAACCTTACGTTAAGCTAACTTGGTGTTGGGTATCAGTCACCAAAGAACCCAGGTGCGGCAAGTGTTTGTCCATGGTTGTCTGCCGTACATTGCATCGTCCACAATACAACGCATTGTAAGTAGCCACCGTTATGGCAGCATACATCGTAAGAATGGCAAATGGCAAATGGTATGTAAATGTTCATGAATATTTACATATTCAATTCATACATCAATCTACATCCACAGCTGGGGGCTACGAAGCGTGTTATTTTTGCGATTATTTGCCGTGGAAACCGGCATTCATCATTACATAGACAGAGACGAACATAAGATAATTGAATAGAGAAAAATTTATAAAATATTAAAGTTTTTGTATTGTAATGGTTGTATCGTAGTTTAAATAATACTAGTTTTTACGGTTAAAACTAGTCTAATATACGCGATAAAATAAAATCCGTAAAAACTAGTGTTATTTAAATGTGTAGTGTTCGCGTAAATATAAGAAATCACTATGTATCATAGTTGTATTAAAATGACTTGTGTTATTACAAGAAAAAGAAAATGTAATATTTCACCGTCTTTTATTTTTCACCGTCTCGTGGCGCTTTTATAAGACTATATTTATGAATTTTATCGTGTTTAATTAACTATTTTAACTTATTTTTTTAATTCCCTAAGTTTCGGGTGCTTTACAGCTCCTATGGTCACGGTGGACTGAGATGTTTTACAGTATCTTGAAGTAGAACGAGCTTACAGTGTCTTGAAGATACTGTAAGCTCGTTCTGCGTAGATCAGACCAAAAATCAATATTCAAAAACTGAAGGTAACCGGGCTAACTATGACATTGGGACGACAAACATCTCAGTTATTATGGAGTGGGGGACTCCATAACCATGGGTGCTGTAAAGCAAACGTCGGGAATTAAAAATAAGCTAAAATAGTTAATATCCTATATTATATATATATATATATATATATATATATATATATAGATATAGATAAAATCCGTAAATATAGTTTTATTCATTTGTAGTGTTCGCATAAATTTAAGAAATCATTACGTCTAGTAGTGATGTCGGAATATCTAATACCGCATATTGCCCTGTGGATTGCGTAAGACGCGACGAAGGGAAAAAAACAAGATGTGGGCAACAGCGGTTTTTATTAAAGAGCCGCTGTTGCCCACATCTGGTTTTTTATTCTTTAGTAATCATTAGATTACTAAAGAATAAAAACTGCCGTTACCAACCCACCTAAAAACGCATAGTTCCTAGTAGCAACTATGCAAATATTGCCAGATCAATGGACTTAGCATGCTATGCATGAATTGACATACTGATAACGCAGTTAACGAAATTCTGTTACACGGTGAGGGTTTTTGTTACATGTTGTATATGAAACGATTCTTAAGGAGTTAACTTCAATAAACTCCAAATATATCTAAGAAATAAAAAAAATAAAAACACGTGAAGTCCACCATCACTAAAGCGCGCTCCACTTTGTCGGCAAAACGTCTCGGCAAAACTTTTGGCAGGAACGAGCGTTGTCGAGAACACACGAGACCGTCTCTGTTCATTCTCGGTCGGCACAGTTGAATTGAATACAAACTCGATACCTCCCACGTAAGTTGTTGTATGCCACAAAAATGGCGTTTGGCGTTTTTACAAAAAACTATCCTAATTTGCATTATTTAATGCATTCAAAGTGGAAAAAAAACCAAAATACGGTTTTTTAAGGATTTGCCAGACGTATAATGTTGTAACTTTCAAACGAGAACGGACTACAGCATTGTATAGACCTTTACAATAGCTTACGCGGGGTGCAGGGCGAGGAGAATCACGCGCCCGCGTCTCGTATTGGACACATACAACAGACCACGCCGGACTTTCAACCGGCCGCTCGCATGATGTAGGAACCGTTTAAGTTTTTTCAAAAATAACTTTATACGTAATTGAATTACTTCAAATATATTATAACAATGAATCATACAAGGATAATAACAAGAGGACGTAGACTATGTGATATGGTCAATAATACGAGTACACAAAATAGAAACTCCGAGACACCCATTGAAAATAACAATGTTTCATTAGATGAAATAGAATTAAACAGCTTTCGTGATTCAAGTCTCCGAAATATCACAGGTATGTTTCTTTTTGTAATATTTTATTAGCATTAATAAGGTTAATGTTACTTTTTTGTCGTGATACCAACCTAAAATGTTGTATAAGTTACTTACAACAGTATACGTCGTTGAGCGTTCATAAAAAATGTTGTATGTAATACATATAACATTTTACGTTTACATTTAAATAAAAATATTGTTGTATGTAATAGATACCACATTTTACTTCGGGAGTTGTTATTCAAAACTTAGTTGTATAGTGACATGCTGTATTTTACTTTGTTATTCCTTTTTCGTTTTCGATGATGTATGTCAAGTCTTTTCTAAAATTGGATCTTGCAACATTATAAAATGCCTTGCCCTGACTCACTGACTTAATGCTTCACTAACGCAGGTCGCACAGGCAACTATGTGCGACCTGCTTTGGTGGATCGTTAAGTCAGTCAGCCAGGTAAAGCATTTTATATGTTGGAGAGGTAAAAGGTGTATGTCTTCCCTAAACGATGTAGGCATCAGGACATACGCGGGTTGCAATCAAATTAAAACGTTAATACTGTTTCAGAGTCACCATTGCCAATAAGTTTTAATGAATCTGAAATGAAAGAGTTGGCAAATATAATAGATGGAAACATCTTTGACAACTTAGAAGTAGCAACAGATTCTGATACTGCAAATCTTGAGACACCGCACCCTTCCCCCTCTTGTAGTATCAATCACTTGGACTACGACTATGATAATGATTTCTGCCCATATTATATACAAAAAGAAAATTTATCAGCGTTCGATATTATACCTCAACCCTCACCAGCATGGATTTCTAGCTGCTCGACGTATACAACCATGAACAATAGTCCGCTGTCGGATATTTCAAATAATAGTCCCACCACAAGTGACCGCCACCGTCGTCCATCAAGGAAAGATAAAGGTAATGTAAGAAAAAGACATTATAAATAATGGATAGATAATAAAAGAAAGTATTTACGTAATTTGGGAAAAGAATATATTTCGAGAAAAGGTAAAATACAAGCAAGCAGAAAGATGGGCCCACCATGTCGCTGCCGCAAGAAGTGCTTTGACAAATTAAGCGAAGAACAAAGAAAGAAGATTTTTGAGAGTTTTTGGAGCTTAGGCGATCGAGAAAAGCAATGGATGTATGTGGCTAACTAGTAAAAAAGCAAAATAAACATAGAGTCTATACAGATACAGTTTCAAGACGTAAGTACACGTTAAAATACTTAATACCAGTAGGTCTTGACAATGATAATATTAATTATGTGGATGTGTGCAAAAAACACTTTTTAAGCACTTTGTCTGTCAGTGATCAGGTTATTAATAAGGCTCTAGAAAAGATGGATACGACAACGGGAGTACTAGTCCCAGATAAAGGAGGTAGACATTCAAACCATCCCGTAAAAAAAACAGATTCGGTAATAACCAGCGTGTGTGATCACATCAAGAGCTTGCAGCCGGTTGAGCCACATTATACGAGGCAAAGGTCAAACAAATTATATTTGGATGGAGATTTAAATTTTCTTAAATTATTTGAAATGTACTCTGAGTTGCTTCAGGCTAACACACAATATGAAGAGAAAGCTGAAACCGAACGTCAATATCGAGATATTGTAAATGAAAATTTTAAGCTCAGTTTTTACGTGCCTAAGAAAGATCGATGCGATCAATGTCACATTTTTAGAAATATTGACGGTCCTACTGAACAACAAATTGCAGATTATGAAAATCATGTCACAAACAAGAAGTTATCCCGACAAATCATGAAATCTGATAAAAATGACAGCAAATCTTCACAAGGTAAAATCGTCGCAGCTACTTTTGATTTTCAAAAGATTCTTAATGCACCTCATGGCCAATTGAGTATTTTATATTACAAGCGGAAGTTGTCGGTTTTTAATTTTACCTTATATGATCTAGCAAATAAAGAGGGACATTGTTATATGTGGCACGAAGGAGAAGCTAAGCATGGTTCTAATGAGGTATCAAGCTGTCTTTCTCATTTTATACAAAATATGCATGAACAGGGTGCAAAAGAATTCAGATTCTGGTCTGACAATTGTGCCGGTCAGAACCGTAATCGCATTGTTTTTGCGTTTTATGTGTATATTGCTCATAAACTTAACATTACTATAAAACATACCTTTCTCGAAAAAGGTCATACCCAAGCAGAGGGTGACAGCGTACACGCTTTAATAGAAAGATCATCTAAAAATAAACTTATATATACACCTCTGGAATGGTTTAGCTTGGTTAGATGGGCTAAACAGGATGGAAAATCATATAACGTCATAGAAATGAAGCACACCGATTTTTATAACTTTAAACAACTTTTGGACGGGCGTAATTGGTCAAAAAATATAAGTGGGGACGTAGTTAAATGGAACAAAATAAAAGATGTGCGGGTATGTGCAGAAGATCCTTTTAAAATTGAATATCGGTACGATTTGGCAAACAGTAATGCTATGACGTTTGCCATTAATACCAATACCCGAAGACGCCAGAGAAATAGTATGGCTGAGCTATGCCCTCTCTATTCCAACCATCTTCCCATAACAAAGGCAAAATATGATGACTTAATGAGTCTCTGTCATAATGGAATTATTCCAGCCACATATCATGACTTTTTCAAGAGTCTATTTTTTGTTGCTGGCTCTCATAATGTTGAATTTTCTGATTCATAGTAGTACTTATAAAAGTCTTTTCTTTTTTAAATCATTTATATTTCTTTAAATTTCATCTTCGTTTTATCATAATAATAGTTTTCACAGCTCCAATAAAACCAAAAATTTGGTTTGTTTAATTAAAAACAACTCAACTGTTTTCAATTACTTATGTATAATTACTAATAAAAAAAATATTCCTCTAAAGCCAAGGATAGTTACTATGCCAATAACTATAAATGGTTACCTGATTTCTAGTTATCTTGATGTTAAGTTGATCTCATAGAAATTATTAAGTAAGTCATAATTATTTTTGTTATTTACTACGATTTTTTATGATTCTATTTTCACAATCCTAAGAAGAGTTTGTTATGTTATTAAAATATAATAGAAAGAGTGTACTATGTTTTCATTTATGTCCTTTTTATTTTGTTTCAAAATAACCTAAGTTTGATAATATTATAAGCTGTTTTTTTAATATTCATTATTTTATTTTTTATATCGGTGTTCTCTAAGATTTTAATGCCAATTTATAAATATTAGGTAAGTACTATTATTGCAATGTTTATAGAAATGTTCCTAAAAATATAATAATAGTAAGTATTTGTGTTGTTCCTATTAAAAAATAAAGAAATTTATCCTTGACAATATGTCTTTTTATTTTTTAACCTAGTATTTGTTTACATATATTAATACAAACCTAATATTTTAACCGATGTAATTTGTTATTGCCACATACAGTGGAATGAGACTTATATTTTTCAATGTATATTGTTGTAACTATTATATACAACAACTGACGAAATCTAAACTCCGCGGTATAATATTGTAAGTATAAGATACGACAAATGTCGCAGCCTGTACTCCGCAGTAAAATGTTGTATGAACAATATCTCAGAAAATATACATTTTTTTTAATTTATCTTTCAACTGTAATCAAGAATACTATAAATTACATTCATATACCAAATTTCACAAAAATACAATCATAAATGCAGTTTTTAGTCCAATTTGAATCTTTAAAATGCTCTATTGTAAAATTGCAGTTTTGGGGATACAACAACTTACGTGGGAGGTATCGACGCTCGTACGGAATGGACGTCGTGAAAATATTGGCCGTTGCAGCGTGCGCCGCAGCATATTACAACGATTTGGTGGTACATGAAAAAAAGTTTATCATAAAACCTAATAAAAATTAAATCTTTAATCAATATTTCCAATGTATCACTCATAATTTTCCATGCATCGTGAACTTTGTTTCGATCTTTGTGATCACGCACTTTTGGGACCCATATCATTGGATGACGTTGATGTAGTTCTAAAAGGTTTAATTTAAGTTCGTGAGTTCAATTTGCCATTTTTTTATGGAAAGACAAGTAGATAGTGTTGCGCCATTTTGAAATCTTAATTAAATGGGTCATTTTTTTGAAATCTTAATTTATTTATTATTTCAAAGGCAAGGCGTTAAAGTAATGTTTTAAAACGTTTTTGACCATGAATTATTTTTTACTAAACTCACAATATTAATTATTGTATTTGTGACTGCGAACAATAGCATAGTTATATAGGAAAACATTGGAAAAAAAAAACACTTAAATTTAGAAATTTGTGGTCACAGTACCTAAATATGTGATCTAGATTGTTGATTTTCAACATTTTCAAAAGTATAACTATTATCATTTAACCAACACACTTAACACTTATCTATATCTAGAGCTGAATCACTACTAACCACCAAGTAGGATTGTAGTAATCGATTCATCGATTCATCTATAATAAAAATTAACATTCACGTTGTATGTACGTGATTATACAATTTCAACGCGAAAAATTAACAAATGACATCCATATTTCAAAGCTATGTCCTACATCTTATCGTCTTTGTTTCAAACGAACGGCATCAATCTTGCTCCACCCAAATATATTTTAACCTGATGAAAACACGGGCAGTAACAACGATGCTCGTGGCTCATTTTATCAGATGTTTTTGTAACAAATAAACAGGCGCTTTTACATATTCTCATGGGTAATTAAATATAGAACGGGTAAACCAAATCCATGTGTTACACAAACATATCAAACGCCGTTCCATTATTTTCATAATCTTCAAATAACAAGCATATCTGGCTACTATGAAACTAATACAGGAATACCATTTATATTCCTTTAGAGTACCTATACAAATATGATTTACCTTAATTATTACGATTAAAATATCTATATTAATGCTTCTTTATTTCGTTACGAAACAAGGGCACCGAAACAAGATTACATTCAAAGAATATATTCTTTTTCTATTTTCTACATTGCACATTTTTTTTAAATCGTCTGACTATATAAAAAAACTACAGGCATGTACGTAATCGACGAGTACGTTTCTACACAGAGAAGTAGAGAGTGGTGGAGTACTTCTTCTCTTTCCATTTTTATATGCACGATTTGTAAAAATATCTTTTATAAGGCGATGCAGAGCCTGTATTCGAACCGAAGGCAAACAATATGAACATTTAATTTAGTTTTAAGAAAAAATAAATGTATTACAATTTTTCCTAGTATTTGTTATTATTATGGCTATTTTACACATGTGTTCGTCTGTTAAAATACTAAAGACCAAAATTCTAACTACTAGTAGCTCAGATTTAGCTCACAAAATTAAAATTTCTGTTTGAGAGAGATTTTTATTTGATATCAACTTGAAAAGAAATTACTTAACCCTCAGTGAATAACTTCCTAATTATTTCAAAAACTTTTTGTTTTCCTTTTCTCTCAAAATAACACAAAAAGTTGGCATTTTTGTGTGAAAACAGAGTTTAAAGTTGATATCGTCGAAAATAGTGAAATTTATTTCATGCATTTGAAATGACTTTTCTCACATTTATGGATGGATGGATATACATAAAAATATTTAAAACAGCGCAATTAAAGTCAAATCAATTTTTTTTTCAATTTGTGCTAAATAAAACAACAGAAATGATTTTAAGAAATCATTTATTTATTACTGTTTTCACAAGAAATGTTCAAATTGCCTGCCACCGGCCTCAACGCACAAACGGCACCAACGCAAAAAAATACTGCACAAATGTCGGAAGGCTTGGGTGTTTTGTCTTATTATTTCTTGAGCTTCATTTAATTTAGTTTTCAACAGAATTCGGGATGGTACACTAATTCCTTATAGAATCTATATACACATAGATAAATTCTCACTAGATATTGGCGCAGTATACAAGCCTGGTAGAACAAACGTTACAAAATTTCTAGAAATTCTTTCATTACAACTACATT